TGTGACTGGGCTCTGGCTCTCCACCACTGCCCTGAAATCATTAGTCTGTATTGTTTTAGAAAAACTGATGTCACATGGCAATAAACAAAAATGTATCAGTACTTGTATCTGTAAGAACTTGGGCAAGTATCAGTACTTGTACTTGCAAAAATGGTATCGGTGCAACCCTAATATATATGCAGGGGTGTGGAATTCCTATCGCCCGACGCCCGGGACAGGCAGTTTCGGGCGCCGGTCGAGTAGTTTTTTAATACATTCAGCCCTGCTCCGGACAAGCGGAGCTGAATGTACAGTGGGAGCCGCCGCTCGTTTTCATACAAGTGATCTAATCAGATCACTTGTATGAAGCGAGAATCGGCAAACCTGTCCGCACCACACCCCCCCCCACAGCCCGCAGAGCAGACGAAGAACTTCCTTTCTTCGTCTGCTCTGTGTTATCACTGAGACCCGTGGCGCTGTGATCACAGCGCCACCTGTCTCGGCTGTCAGGAACTGCACAGAGCATCAGTTCTGTGTTGGAGGGCAGGTTCCATAAAGAGAACCTGTCACCTCCAAACTATCACATAGAGGATTTTAACACCATGTGATGGGAATAAAATGGAACAAACATTTTTTTTAAAGTTCTAAAAAAGTAAAATCTAATAAAATATATAAAAAATAAGTGACAAAGTAAAAAAAAACAATTAAAACCAACTCTGCTGCCCCTGCCATCTGCATACAAATAAATACACGCATAGGAAATTGTGTGTGTGTGTTGAGTCCTGCTGCCATTTCACTGTGTGCCATATTGTGGTACCTGGGCAGCAGAACTCTCTCACACACACAATGTGCATTAAAGGGTAAGTTCACTTTCCCAGGTAATACGGGAAAATGGAATTACCCGATCAAATCTTGCCCGATCTCTTCTACCCCCCCAGCTATAAACTTTCTGCAAACAGTCCTTACCCCGTACTGTCAAGCGCATTCCTGCCCTATGCATTTTTTATTTTACTGGCAAATTGCAAGCACTCATTGGTCAGCGTGGTCAAGTGATTGGCTGGGAAGCCAGCTCCTTGCCGATTGGCCGCCAATCAGCATCGAGCCTTCTTCCCGGCCAATCAGGTCATTACGTTGGCATGGAGCAGGCCTCCCAGCCATTCACAATCAAGCCGGCCGAACAACATGGAGTCGGCTTCCCTGGCAGTCAGGAAGCCGGGTAGCATCTCATTACCCGCTGCCTAGCTTCCTGATTGCCCGGGAAGCCTGCTCCATGCCAACGGGTGAGTACTGAAAGCAAAATATTGGTACTCGACACCCAAAAACTGGTATTGGTGCATCCCTAGTTTTAAACTTTTAAAACTTTTGTTGTTGTATTGGGACAAGTAGATTGTCATGAAGGACAAGTAGATTTGACCCCCGCTTTAGCCCTTGGACAAGAGGTTTTTTCAAAAATGTCCACACCCCTTTACATGTGTATAAAAACAAAATCATACATTAAAACAGAGATGTACAAAATGTGTGCTCCTTACAAATGACAGCCGCCTCCTAACTTTTGAATTTTTCTCTAGTCTAGTCCTGGAGCTGGAAAAATATCTGTACTTGTACCGAGTACTGTACTTGGTATCGGTGCATCCCTACTTCTTTCATTCAGTTATTCATGTGCATTTGTGACTTGCAATTCCCTAATGTGTGTGGATAGGGATACAGGCTGCCACCAATCGCACAGACAGTTCTGGGCTTTTTATTTGAAAGTCCAGCACACTTTTCAAATAAAGTATAATGGGTGAACCCATTTTATAAATGTTTCATTTGCAAAATAAAAGTTTTATACAAGTAATTTAAAAATGTTATAAAATAAAATGTGCATTATCTGTAGTGTTTGTAAACTTCTGAGTTGTGCAAAAAAATAAACTTAACCAAAAGCCTGTTGCGGTCTTTCTGCTACATTTCAAAACTTCTCACTGTGATCTGGAACTGATGCATATTATAATTTCCTCTTTGATGGCTTTTCCTTCTACTTGTCTCCACCGATTTCCTTCTACTTGTACTTCTACTATTGTGTAACAGAAAAAATACTGCCAGCCAGCATGATTTGTAAAGAGAAGTTCCACTTTTAACAAGAAAGCTGATATTGGACTTGTGTCAGCCCCTCAGATCCGTGTCAGCCAGGTGCTGGGGCTTGTTCAAACCATGTCCAGATCATTTCCAGATCAGAACAGTTTGTTTATGGACCAAAAAAGCATCCCAATGTATCCCTATGGTATTTCTAGACTCTGTTCACACCGCCCAGTCCGTTCTGGTCCAGACAACAACAAAAAAACACACTGGAACGCATTTAAATGCATAGAAAATGCATTCAAACACCCTGGAACGCACCTGAAAGCCCATTTTAAGCTAAAAAAAATGCGGCTAAATTGCGGTAAACACGTGGCAAAAATGCACTGCACTGCGTTTGCAGATCTGCTCCAGATCTGGTCTGGACATGGTGTGAACATAGCCTCTCAAGGGAGATTTGTACACGCAGGGTGAGAAGGATAAAACATGATCAGTCCCTGAATTTTAGGGTGAGCCGACATAGCTGTGTCTCCTGTTCCAGTACAGTCTGATAGCTTTCTGTAGCTGAATTCATTGAATATTATGTGTGGCCCTTTGGTAACGTCAGATTCTGCATTTGAGGCCACTGTTGATGTAGACAACTAATCAGGTGCTTGCAGCAAATAAGATGATTGTGTGAGCCCCAGGCTGAAGGCTGAGCACTATGCATGTACCTACAAGCATCCACTGATGCCTAGACAAGGCAAATAAAACAAGCTTGCTTTTGAAGTGTATGTCCCTTGAGCTGCTACAGGTTCAGGCCTACAACTTCTGCGTGGTAGTTACAGCCCAGCCTTTAATACAGACGTGGAGTTTTGGGATATTTAGTTTCATAACAGTTGGAAAGTGAACAGCTATAGAAGGCGTGTTTGTTGTTCACTGTGGAAAATCAAAGATATCTCCTTTTTTATACTGGTGACTGGAGCATATTTATGACTGGACTTTGTATTCAGCTGTTAAATAAATATAAGTATAGCAAGCTAAGTGTGCTCTGCCCTTGCTCCGTGTCTACAGGTTGTGTACACACCAAGCTATCTGTTTGATCTGATCTGGGGGACATTTAACCTGTATTTCTACACTAACAGGGTTATTCACAAAAGGGTGAAGAGTTTGGAGAAGGCAGGAGAAGTGGACAATCTAGGACAGGGGCGGCCACAATTTTTCGTCTGGAGATCCACTTTTCAAATGACGAGCTCAATGAGATCTACCAACGAAAAAACACCTGCATTCAGGGGCGGGAGGGCGATCGCCTGCACCCAGAACCCAGGCACATTAGTGCCTGCGTTCCGGTCCAGTGCGAGCTGCAAAAATGCTGCAAGCACTATTTTTGCAGATTGCACTGGAGCGGAATGCAGGCGTAAGTCGTGAAAATGTACACACATATACATCATCACTGCACCTCTTCATTACCACAATCAATGCTAAACACTTACAAAGGTGGAAATGTCCTTTAAGGACAATTGCTGGTAACTTTAGGAGTTCACTATAATCCTTGCCTGCAGGTTGTGGAAGGTTTTCCTCAGCGTCTCCATCTGTGTTTCTCTGCTATCCTCCCTTCCAATGTCCATGTTGTAACTCTTCACGATAATCCTTTTTTCTGTAATGTTTTTCCTGCTAGGAAAGTGAACATAAATCTCTCCTTTCCCTGTCAGGCAAATCTCTAGACGGAACATACTCTGCCGACAGGATAGGAATGTGCCTCTTACAGAGGATGTTGAAGGTATCAAGTAGTGACCAATCCTGGAAAATGTACTTCCTCTGAATGTTACAGGCTGATACATTATCACTCTTTATGTGCTGGGCTGTACTACTTATTCCATTGTTTAAAGGTCAACTCTAGACATAGAGCTAAATATGCACAGAACAATTATAAACGGTTTTACCTGCCAATGGATTTCCTATTCTGTTTATACAGTGGTGACACCACTGCCAGACATCACAGCCAGATCAGTGACTGACTTCTCTATTCTCTGCTGCAGTTATGTGGCACTGCTTGGTCACCAACCTGTACCCAGCCTGCAGATTAAACAATGAATTAGCATTGCCACATTGATCAAAGAATCACTCTGCCTTCTCTCTCTGTCAGCAAGCCCTGAACTGAAGTGGGAATGTTATATTTTTTTGAAACCTACTTTGGTCCAGCTTGGCTTGATATAAGTATCCATATGTGATACCTGGAGGGCCGCTGTGGATGCTGAAAATAAAGGTACTAGTCTGCACTACATACAGTGATTGGGTGCAGCTCCACCAGCATCTGCACAGGGAGTCACTCTATTTACACCGCCACCATTCAGAAAAACCCCTTGTATTCTCTGATAGGTCAAGGTCTATACCTTGTCCATTTTTCCCCTCCTCTACCCCTCATCCATTCAGAAAACGCCTGGTGTTCAATGAAAGAATACAAGGCTTTCTCTGAATGGTGGAAATGCTAATACCTGGAGTTCTGCTCTAAACAAAAACAGATTTTCTGCATGCATGTGATTAGATGATTAAAGTTTGCACAACTTCACCTCACCGAGATAAACAACTTTATTTGTGGTATACAAATATTTGCACTCGCATAGTGTCCCGTGAGGTTATAGCACATTACTGATGAATGACTCCAGGCAAAAAGTAATTTTTTTTTTCTTAAAATATCTTCCTCTCAGCAGCAGCCAGTCACCAAGATGTAAGGAGAGCATGTTTGTGCAAAGAATACACAATCATGTGCAAGAAAATTATAATAATTAAAAAAATGTATTTTTGCTGGGAACTAGAGTAGTTCCAAGCAAAGTAAAAGTTCCCTTTGTAAAGAGAAACTTTTCTTAATGGCCCAGGTGCATTGGATGTCTGACTTTTATGTTTGTACTGTTATGTAGACCTATTGCACCAGCCAGCCCAGTAGACTATTTGGTGTTCTAACTACAATTCTGTTTTTTCTTTGACAGTTAGCATTGATGACATTGAGGACGTGCGTCCTGGCCAGGAGACAGAAGGGATGAAACGTTATGCTTCGACTGTGCCAAGTAAGCTCTGCTTTTCCATCGTCTTCAAGGGAAATCGCAAGAACCTTGATCTAATAGCCAGCACTAATGAGGAAGCTGCTCACTGGACTGGAGGATTAAGTAAAATAATGAGCAAGTCACGATCCATGAGCCAAAACCAAAAGGTACGGCAGTATCCTTTTGTGCAAGATTGGGGCCTGTGCAACGAGCATTGGTGGTGTCATTGGTATTGCTTATTTCTGTGGCTTTTCTACAAGCCTTTTCTACACTCCAGCACACCAGTTCCTGTTAAAGGAGAATTATGAGGCGAGTGATTTTCACTCAGCCTCATAATCTGAGCCGACCTGTGACAATGAATCTGTCACACGTCGGCTCAGTAGATCGGGAAGTGAGCGAACACATACCGTCGCTCGCTCACTTCTCGATCTATCCCTGCAGAGAGCCGTGACTGTCACTCACGGCTCCCTGCAGGGATCCCCCTCCCCTGTCCGATACTCCAGCGCTGACTGGCGGAACGGACGGACGGGGGGGGTCTGGGCACAGCTGGCTCTGCCTCTGGATAGGCAGAGGCAGCTGTCAATCACGCAGATGGGTGGGTCTCGACAGCTCTGTCGGGATACGTCCCGGCTGCAGCGTCTCAGTATACCGTGAGCTGTAGCACACGGTATACTGAGCTTTGGGTCATGAGAGAACGCTAGTTTGTGTTTTCTCCCGTGACCCTTAGGAGAACCATGTGGAAAAGCCCTGCTCCCATAGTTCTCCTTTTAAGGCTGATCCTGAATTGTATGTAGTGAAGTCAGAGTGGTCACCCACATTCCGTGGAGGGATTGATGAGGATCTGCTTCTGGACTGTGCACAAAAGGTAAAGGAGAAAGGTTTTAGATCACCCCCTAGACAAAACAAGCCTTGTATCATGCTTCATCTGGTAAGGGAGGCACAATGTTAGGATTTTTTAAGTGCTGCAGTTCAGCTTAAAGGTAGTGAGGCCTACATGTTGCTTGCAGCATTTTTCTTTAAATTCTGGGGAAAGTCATTCTCTGCATTTTGCACACCTACGCATTTCCTGGCTGAATGGCAAATTTATATTCTTCTGTTTACTAATAGGCTCCCTGATCTACAGTGAATTTTTACTTTTGCCTCAATAACTTGCCATTTGCTACTAAACACTCCGATAAGAGTCAACTGAACAGTACAAAGTAAAGTACACACCGGTTCTGAGAGAAGTGTATATAGGCTACCATTGGTGACTTTTCTTCTGAAGTTACTAATTGTCTTGCTGTGTGGCTTCATCTTCTGGCAACAAACATGCAGGAAAATCTGTGCTTGCTTCAGGGAAGTGCCTCCTAAAATATTCCAGCCAAATTATCAGCATGAAAACCAGGCAAGTAGCAAGGTCAGACTCTGGTACGGATCTGGTCCGGACACAATCCGGATGTCGTGTGAACAAGCCCTCAAACTTCTTTCATGAAAGGTGAGCTTGTATAAAGTTGTCTGCAGGCATCAAGGTTTCTGCAAACACATGGTGTTGATTTAGCATGCTTGCTTCCTAAGCTAGTTGATGACTTCACGGATAAGGATCAGCATAGAGTATATACTGTACGAAAGATGTGGGGTGCCTTTTTATATATAAAGAAAACTGCACCCTCTCTTCTCTGCTATCCCTTGAGTACTTGCTTTCACATACCCTACCCAACATGTCCCCCATTCCGCCTTCACCATATTGTTGTCATCATCACTGGTCTTATTAAGTACCAGTATGATTTTAGAAAATGTCATTAGCTTGGTTTTACTTTACATATAGATAGCTAGAAACAGAACAGATTTTCTCATATCACAAATACACATGCTTTATACACGCTCAATACACACATGTACAACGAGTGAGTTTTGCTGTTTTTGTGCAGTCAAAACATGCAATTGAGTTGTTGACAGTGTTGCTTGTATGCCATCTGAATTGATTTTAATCTCAGGTTTAGTACTGCACAGTAACTTGTTTTTTTTTAAATTGGAGATCCAGTTCCATACCATACAAAACACAGAAGTTTCCCAGCACACTTACCAGCTAGCCTGCAACCAAACAAAATGCCCTATCTAACAGTATGGATTAAATACAAAGGTTTTAGTGGCACATATTTTGCAAAAGTTGTGCAAGCCACACTGCCTCGTCAAGGCTCCTCTGTGTAGTGTGGTCTTAACTCTAAAGGTGCCCATACACCTTACGACCATCGCAAGACTTTTTTTGTGCGCACACCGGCCAGTTCCGCAGCTAGTGGACGAGCAGGCTAGAAACCCGCCGACAATCGTACGATTCTAGGCGGGTTTTCGAGCATGTTGGTTCGACAAAAGACGTGCGACCGTACAGTAAAACGGTCGCACGTCTTCGTTCACACTGCTCGATTCTCGTACGATCGCGGGATTTCGCCCGATTCTCGTACGAGAATCGAGCAGTGTATGGGCACCTTAATTTTTTGAGTCTCCAGTCCCATACCACCTTCATTTGGTTCCCATACCCCCCCTCATGGACACTTCTGTTTTAAAGGCTCTTTACACCCACAACAGCTGTTTCAGATAGGAGACATTGGTGGCTTAATTTATTCACCGGTCTTCTATAGCTCTTTGTGCTTCCACAATAGATTGCTCTGTTTTTACAAGTAGTAACTCTTGCTAAATATCTTTTAATGTATCAATTGGAAAAACATTTCCTCCACCTTCCTCACAATAAGGGGTTAGAACTGAAACCTTGGACACAGACATCCCTTCGTAGCAGTCCAAAAGAGCTATAAAAATCTGGTGGGTGGTTTACCCTGCTGCTACTTATCCGGAGCCAAAATATCGGTCTTTGGTTGCATAGGCCTTTAATTATGGGCAATACTACTTCTGACCACGGGGAGGGAGAGTGGGGTGTGTATCATGATATTGATTCTGTTGTCCTCTGTCTGAATCTTTTAGTGAATTCACCCTACCTAGGCTCATTAGTGCAGGAGCTTATCATTGTAAAAGGTTCACTTATGTCTTTTGTTGCTTAATATACTATCACACACCTAGACAACCCTGGGTTTCTGTAACACAGCGACATCATGAATATTTATACCACAGACAACAGAATGTCCTCCAGCATGTCAGAGGTTTTACTTCTTGTGGTAGTTAGCTTATTGTACACGTATTTCCTTAATTATAGAGACCTCTAGAAATTGGGTGTAGGTCACAGTATAAATATATGTATGAAAACCATCTCCAGCTAGCATGATCTTGTAATTACTAGTTGGCTTAGACTGGTGTGGTAAAGAGAGGCACCAGCTGCTACTATATTTACTTGTCTGACGTTTGGCATGTTCAATTTATTTCCTGTCTTTGGGGGGAAAAATATGAATTGTATGTTGGTTTAGGTAGAAGTATTTTAATACAGTTTATGGATCAGTATATGAAAACTTTATGCTCTTACTAAGACTACACACAATGCCGGATTATAATAACATTAGTTAGGGTCCATAACTGTAAGAGGGGAAAATCCTTTGTAACTGAAGGTGTTTCTAAAACTATAATAACCTAGTTTACCCTCCTACTATTTGACAGCAAGCCCATGGACAGAAAGTCAGACATTAGAATAATGTTGCTTCCCCGGACCAGAACATTATGTCAGTTATTTTCTTATTTTATTTATGCTCTCAAAATGTCAAAGGAATACTGCACGCCATCCTTAGTTACTTTTCAATACGTTTTTTTGAAAGTTTGTAAAAGAAACATTATATAATACAACACAATAAAAAGAAAAAAACAGAACAAACAAGAACAAAGTACAACCATAAAGAGTGTGAAATTCAGGTACAGCTTGAAAGGGAAGTATGCAAAAGCTCCATACAGAGATCAATCCTATCATATGTACAAGTCCAATAAGAAGGTCAGTCGTAATGTACAAACTTGGCATAGTTGAGGGATAGAAAAAGACCTCTTGTGGATATTGATGGCAATGGGGATGACACATAACGGATATAAAAGTTCCCGTGAGGGATCAAAAAAAGGCAGCTTGGAAGTATTGTAGGATAGAGTATGTCTTGGTTTAAAAATAGAAGGCTGTAAGAAAAGATTAGTGGTGTAAAGAAAAGGAGAGGTAAAAAAGGATCAAGAGGAAACCTGGAGAAGGATTAAAGAAAAGGAGCAAGGGAGAAAAGAATAAAGGGGGAAGAGGTGATCCTCCCAAGGCCACCAGAAAGCTCCCATATAAAAATCCCCGTTTTCAGTATAACAGGGTACATAATCGGGAAGCCTTGAGTCAGCAGCGTCCCATCAAAGTCAGATTTAAGGTAGCCATATGTAGGAGTCGTAGTAAAGTGGTCCCAGCATGCCCAGGTTCAGATACATTTATCTAACACATCACATTTGGTAAACATGAATTCTTCCATTTCATGGCTATGATCTACTTGTTTGATCCATTCAGATACAGAGGGGGGCCTGAGGTTCTTCTCTCCAGTGTCTTGGTATAATTGCCAGAGCATCATTGATCCAGTCTTCCACATGGCAAACGCTAAATGTGAATGGAGCCCAAGAGAGCCTACCTCTTCTTTGCAACGGCAACAAGTAGTTATCCTTGGTTTCTTGTAGATTGCCTCAGGCCCCCAGAAAACCTGAGCTTTATGACACTTTGATAGCAACCACCTCTCTTGGTCACTGGCCTTGGCACATCCCCTCCTACCTCCAGTGTCTCACTGTTGGCCCATCACTATGATTGTGCAGCCTCTCTAACCAATAATAAGGTATGGGTTGAGGTGGGCCAGACACAGCCGCCATGTAAGGTGGTCATAGTTTGAATATTAGTGTCCTGGTATTTTTAGGTTGCTCTACTGTATTCAATGTTCAACTGCGTAACAAATTATGGTATATACATTTACCTATGTAAAGCGGAGCTTTTTCCTTAATGCGTTAAAAAAAGTTGGATTCACACATGTCTACGGAAAGCAGACAAGAATAAAGACAACAAGATGAGCCTCAAGGAGCTGAAGCGGTTCTTGCTGGAAGTAAATATTGAGACTGATGACAACTATGCAAAACAAATATTCCAGGTATGTACCCAAAACATGCCAAATTGTGTACACATATTATTCTCTTTCCTTTTAATATTGTCTGTTTTTAATACTAAAGTCAATAGAGTGTCGCCAGTGGATGCGAGTTCTCCATATTGTTACATGGAAAGCCAACTAGAGGGTCCAACCACATAAATGTGGTACCATTCGTGATTTAGTGCCATCGTGATCATCTTGTGCATCAGGACCCAAGAGGAGATTCTATAATCAATGTTTAGGTTCCCTAGACAGAAATGATATCAATGCACTAAGGTTACTTTGAGAAAAGTATTTAAGGGGCAAACAGCAACACAGTAAAAAAAATTTGGGTCCAAAAAAACATTTTGCAGTGTCACTTAAGGCCACAATATACATAAGTGGAACTCCTCTCCAGTACTGGAACCTTTATTGGTGTATGCACATAAACCGCATGAAAATGAACATAGAATTGTGTGAATCCAGCCTAACTGTAATGTGTATCCTAACGAGACAACAGACACTGGACGTGCTGGTATTTGTCCACTGATATTTATTATTTTTGTTTTGCAGATCAAAAAGCATGTTTGTAATGTAATATCAGTAGGTTTTGATAATGGTGTATTATTCATTTTTTTAGCAATGTGATAGATCACGGACTGGATCTTTGGAGGATAAGGAAATTGAAGAATTTTATAAAATCCTTACAATGCGAGAAGAAATAGATATAATATTCAAGACCTACAATAGCAGCGACGATTTCATGTCTGCTGAAAACCTGCAAAAATTTCTAGCTGAGGAGCAGAGGGAGGCCATGAGCCTGGAGCAGGTATTCTCCCTGATAGACAAGTATGAGCCAACTGAGGAAGGTAAGCAAGGCACATCCTCTGGAGGGAAAACTTACCACATCTGGTACAAAGGAAAAAGAGAAAGTCGTGTTGTCCAACACCTATTAGAAAAATGTAAAAATAAATACAATGTAATTAAATACTCCTTTTACTTATCATAATATTATTGTCCATTAAAAGCCCAACTCCAGCCCAAACCTTTTTTGATTTTGGACAGAGTGGGGAAGGGTTAGAGTTGGCTATTGCCACCTGTGACCTTGTTGGGGAGATTTCCCCCCACTTCCTGTCAGGACAGGAAATTATGGGAAACCTCTGCAACAGACAGACGGAGATTTAAACAGAAACCTATTTTTAGTGGAGTGGGAAAGATTAGAACATCTGATTTTATTGATGCTTTTTTTTTTTTTTTTTCCTGTCCTGATGACAACAGCACCTCTCATTTCTTTTATGAGCATCACAACAACAGGAAGTGAGGAAAGATGTCCCCAAGGCGGCACAATAAAGACAAAAATTAAATTTTGAAAGAAATCCAAACTTTTCTGACAAACTGACAAAAATAATTTGGCTGAAGTTATGCTTCAGTAGCCAATAGCCAATAGCCAATTAGAGGTGGCAATAGCCAACTCTAACACTTCCCCGCTCTATCCAAAATCAAAAAGGTTTGGGCTGGAGTTGGGCTTTTAATGGAGAATAATTGACAATAAGATTATGTTAAGTAAAAGGAGCATTGATATTCTCACTAAGTATTGTCATTTTTATCAGGGATCATTAAAACCATCAGTGTACAACTTGTCACTGTTTATTTATCTGGCTCCAGTTTCTCCAGATGAGGATTGCTGCTCCCTGTGAAAGCAGCAGCCTCTCTGCAGAGGTCTGGCATGCCCCCTTAGTCTTATAGCTTTACAATCAGCAAAGCTCATACGTTCTGCTTATTGCAGAGCTATAGGAGTGATTTGGGGGAAGGCTGGGACATCTGTAGAGAGGCCACTGCTTACACACGGATAGCAATAGTCTTTATCTGCAGGCAACTGGTGGCTGCCACCTACCTTGTAAGCATTTGATGGGTTTTATGCCCCCTAAATAGATTTACAGCATTTGAAGTGTTTTTGTGTGTTGGGAGGGGTTAGACCACATTATGTTTTTAACGCTGTGCCGATTTGAAAGATTCACACTGGTACTGGTAACCACTGTCACTGAAAAATGAGAGGAAATCCCAAAATTTAGAGGTGCCCCTAGAACATGGGGTAAATGGGAATCGTCCAATGGGGACAACTGTCTAAGAGTGGAATTCCTCTCACTTTGGGAGATTTCTTCTTGAATCTCTAATGTGCCTGTGTTACGGTCCAGTGCGATCTGCAAAAATACTGTAAGCATTATTTTTGCAGATCGCACTGGACCGGAACGCAGACACTAATGTGCCTGCGTTCCGGGTGCGGGCGATTGCTCTGCGGAAGGCGTGGCTGCGGTGCCATTGACTTCAATGCACCGCCACTCCCCCTCCCACCCCTGAATGCAGGGAGCCGGCCGGCTTGCGTTCCAGTGCGTTCCAGTTTGTGGTGTGAACCAGCCCTGAAGTTTGTTCAGATAAGATTTGAATATTAAAGAGAGAAGCTTATTGGTTGCCTGGCAAAGCTGCGCCAGATTGGATAAATTCCCCTCATTGTGCTTTTGACATCGGTGTGAAACATTTTTGAGATTCAGAATTCATTGCAGGTGCACTTGTAGTGCATTTGACCACCTTCAGCCACTCTCACATCCCCATAGACTTGCATTGGGGGAGAAGCCTGCCAACACTGACCATTAGTAGCAACTGTCCCTAAAGAGGAGGGCAAAATATGGCACCACAGAAGCTCAAGTGTTTTTAAACTATTACATCTTTTAACATTCAGGTTTTTCCTCTCTGGACCTTGCTGGATTTATAAAATAATTAATTCTATAGGGTGCTGTAATTGCATGCCATGTGTTGTTTTACAGCTAAAAATCAACAGGCCCTGACCAAAGACGGCTTCTTTTTATACCTGCTGTCTGCTGATGGCAATGTATTTAACCCAGAACACAGTAAAGTTTACCAGGACATGATGCAGCCACTGTCTCATTACTTCATCTCCTCTTCACACAACACTTACCTGATGGAAGACCAGCTAAAAGGACCAAGCAGTACTGAGGCCTACATAAGGTGAGCTGCTATAAGCTGGTAATCTACTACTATGATCACAGCAGGGTGGAAAGGCTTTCCCAAGATAACACTAACACAGGGGTAGGCAACCTCGGCACTCCAGCTGTTGTGGAACTACAAGTCCCATGATGGATGCATTGCAAGACTCTGACAGCCACAGGCATGACTCCCATAGGGCTGGTGGGATTTGTAGGTTCACCATAGCTGAGATACCTAGGTTGCCTGCCCCTGCACTAACGCGTCATTGTATATCTAATATGATACTAACATGGAGTAGGTACAATTTTGGGTGATGGGATTTTGAGCACAGCTGAATGTTGTGAAACGGAAACGTATCAGATGTGCAGGTGCACCTAAACAATCTTTTAAATTTGTATCTAGTTGATAAGACACAGTTTATATTTCATATTACACAGTTCTTGGTAAATTTTGCTCATCTGATTCTCATAGATTAAAACTGAAACATTGCGTGTGTGATCAACATAAATCCTTACAATACCATGTTGGGGAAAAGATTATGCCAACTTGCAATGTCCTGTTACACTCTCTCTACACTACTCTACCTCTATGATTAAGCCCAGGTGGTGAAACGCGTGAGAGGCGTTGTGGTGGGAGATACTATGGTGGTGTATACCTTTTTGTATTTTGAACTTTGCATGGAATTTACAACAATAAAGTTGGATTTTTATGGACCTCGGCTGATTGGAGATATATTGTTGGAATGTCCAGTGACCTTTTCTTGTGAGCTTCCTGACTTATTCATTAAAGGAGAAGTATTGGGAGAGTAAAATGTATTTTTCCCAATACTTGGAGCTGTTGTGTGACACTGCAGGTCTCCCATGCTGGCCCTATAGATTGAGAACTGAGCAAGTTCTCACGAACCGCTGATCACTCGGCTCACATCTTCTGCCTGCAGAGAGAAGTGACTGTCAGTCACCGCTCCCTGCAGGCATTCCACCCCTCCTTCTCTGTTTCTCCAGCGCTCATTAGAGGGGCAGGCAGCAGAGGAGGTGGGCACAGCTGGCTCTAGCTCTAGAGAGGCAGATCCAGCTGTTAATCAGGCAGCGGGGTGGCTGATTGGCAGCTGGATCCTTCCCTGCTGTAGTGCGGCTCTGCACTGTCAACATATAGGGGGCTGTTGCCCACTATATGCTGACTTTGGGTCAGGAGGACATTAGTAAATCTACTCCTTTGACCCAAAAGAGTACTAAAGCCAAAAAAAAAGGTTTGGCTTTAGTTTTACAAATTACACTTTTACAAATGTAACCAATACATGTAGCAGACTCCAACTAATGGGGGCGTATTTATGAAGTAGTGAATGTGGCATGCGTCATACACTCACAGGTGGTTAAGCATTCCCTCGCATGTACCAGGAAGATTCGCCTGCAATTAATATGGTGAATGTCATATTCAATGCTTTATAAATATGTCCCTATGTGTTATTACTGTTATTAAAAAGTTGCTGTTACTTTACATATTATATTTCGGGCATTAGAGGGTCTTTCCAATCAAAGCTTTCTGATTGGCGTCTTCATTTTCCTGTGTATTTTAAAACCCCCTGTGTGTTGGGATTTTCTTATCTCTGTAATCTGCCAGCAACTTTATGGGAGTTTGCACCTCTCAGCAGTCTGGTAGCCACCAATAGTTGGCTTTTCTTGGTAAACATGAAATTGTTATATCTAATAAGTGATCCAACCCTCTTCCTATGCTGCACAAGTGTAAATGAAACCTTCAGCACCATTCCTTATGGATGATACTATGGAACAATGTACAATCACTGACACTAATGAAAACTCTAGTCATCAAACATTCTCAATCTTCGAGAGGACCTGCTGCACTCCTTACCGGAACCCCTTTATACAAAGGAGGATGTTGTAGTAACCACGGATGGCACCGCGTATCTTCAGATTTATAGAAAAAGGTTACCAGCACAGCTCTGACTAGTGTCAACAATCCATCTTCTTTATACAGCTTGTCATATTAAAACCTGATGAAGGGGGACCCTGTGTGGCCCCGAAACCTTATTTGACAGTCTGCATCAATAAAGAAGATGGATTGTTGGCACTAGTCATAGGTGTGCTGGTAACAACATTTTCTATATATCAATCATTCTCACACACACACACACACATGTATATATTATTATATACAGTATATTATTATATCCAAAGTTTATGCATTGTGAAACTAAAACTGACAGCAACATTTTCTATTTATTTTTAATTATATTCAACTTTTTATTTTATTATTTTAAGCCGTAATGGCATAGTTGAAGAGCGACATGTGGAAGTATTAATATCTGCCTGTCATGGTATTACAAGGGAGGAACTGTAAATAATAAAGCCTCCAAAGACACTTCAAAATGTAATTTTTAAAACTGGAATTGACATGTTACACTTCTGCTTTGGAACCAGGGCTCTTACAAAAGGATGTCGGTGTGTGGAGCTGGATTGCTATGACGGGCCCAATGGGGAGCCCAACATTTATCATGGCTATACGCTGACGTCAAAGATCCTCTTCAAAGATGTCATAACAACCATAAAGAACTATGCCTTCAAAGTAAGAAGGGTTGTCGACTATGTTCTAATGCAAATTACGAGCTCAATGAGATGTACCAATAAAAAAACAACTGCATTGAGGGGCGGGAGGGGGGTCTCTTGCTGTCTTTTCTCCCTCTCTCTCCTGTCCTCTCACTTTCTCTGCTGTCTCTCACTCTCTCATGTTTCTTCTCACTTTCTCTGCTGTCGTCTCTTCTCTCACTTTCTCTGCTGTCTCTCTTCTCTCACTTTCTCTCCTGTTTCTTCTCACTTTCTCTGCTGTCTCTTCTCTCACTTTCTCTGCTGTCTCGTCTCTAACTTTCTCTGCTGTCTCGTCTCTAACTTTCTCTGCTGTCTCGTCTCTCACTTTCTCTGCTGTCTCTCTTCTCTCTGCTGTCTCTCTCTTTTCTCACTTTCTCTGCTGTCTTTCTTCTCTCACTTTCTCTGCTGTCTCTCCCCTGTCTGTCTTTTCTGACCTCCACTGCAGCAGCTTCCCGGGTCTCCTCTCATGCGCCCTGTCCTCCCGCAGTGCTCGTGTGGCTGACGTTGCACACAGGGAGAGGTGTCGCACCCCCTTCCCGTCTGCGGCGTCTGACACATTCAGCTGGCAGCCGCACGAGCTCCGCGGACACAGCCGATCGCGACAGGACACAGCCGATCGCGATCTACCAGTGTTGGCTTTGCGATCGACTGGCAGATTGCGATCGACTTAATGGGTACCTCTAGTCCTAATATAATACCTCTTTATTCAATTGTATAACATTATTTTTAACAAAGGTTTTTTAGGAGCATTCTCTTTTTAATACTACTTGTTTTTCTCATTATTCTCTTTATTCAGTGAAATATTGAAATGTTAAACTTTTATGGCAGTTTAATTTGGTTTAGTTCTGTTCCTCTGTGCTAGCAGAAGGTTTCACTATCAGTAGTAGGAGTTACCAGCTACAGCACTGCAGCTTGCTAGCACTTAGCAGGCAGATTCCCCTACTGCACACTTGCATATTCACCAAGGTAATATGGCATTTAGTTATGCCTTGCAGACTCATTACCGTTTCCACATTTTAGCAAGTATAGGAAGGTTGCCAGACATCTGACTCTCAAGGATGAACTCCAGGAACTTAAAAAAATTACCCTTGCAGTGGGGCTACCCCCTCACTGCAAGGGTTAAGTGCTTGTTTTATCATGTACTTGTTTTGGGAGTCAAATAAAGCAGATATACTCACCTGGTCCTCTGCCCCCGCTGGGCTGCTAGACTGGTCCCCGCAGTCTCTTCTTCCTTGGGCTCCAGCGGTCTGGGCCCTGCTGACATTACACCCAATGCAGGTCTGTTGACTTGCATTAGACATGAGGCTGCCAACATTTCATAGCTGGAGCGGAGAGGGAGAGAGGTGAGTGCTGACCACTGCAGAACCAAGCATCAGATGAGCATCTACTTTATTTGACTCCCCTAAACAAAACAAGCACTTAACCCTTGCATTGCGGGGTAGCCCCAAAGCAAGAGTAAGTTTTTTTTAATTCCTAGAATTCTTGATTTATAGTGTATGATGTTAGGAAATTTCTAAAATCCGTGTCCTTTTTTTTTTTTTCCCCACCATCTATGTCCCCCATTGGGGAGATTCAATTCTTGTCTTGGAGACACAACAGGAGATTAAACCCATCTATAGGTGCCCATACATTGCACGATTCTCGTATGAGAATCGTGCAGTGTAGGGAAGGCGCGCGACCGTTTCTAATGTACGGTCGCGCGACTTTTGTATTTCGAGCATGTTGGAAAACCAGCCGAGAATCGTACGATTTTCGGCTGGTTTTTAACATGATGGAGAGATGACTGCCGAACGAGCCGCTGTGCACACTCGCACACTGCCCGTTCAGCATTGCAGTCATCGGAAGCCCCCCCCCCCCTCAGGGGTGCAGGCTTGCGATTATCGCAAGTACGATCTGCCTGTCCAAGATGGGCAGATCGTACGTTTTTTTAATTACTTTACAACCCTCGCAAGACAAAAGTCTTGCGAGGGTTGTAAAGTGTATGGGTTGTAAAGTGCAGAATCGTGCAGTGTATGACACCTTAAAGGAGAACTATGAGATGAGTGATTTCCACTCACCTCATAGTTCTAGCCGACCTGTGACAATGAGACTGTCACAGGTCGGCTCAGTAGATCGGAAGGTGAGCGAACACATACCGGGTTCGCTCGCCTCTCGATCCTGTCACGGCTCTCTGCCGTGACAGGGGGAGGGGCTGGATTCCCCTCTCCGATCTGCCAGCGCTGACTGGCGGAACGGACGGAGGAGGGGGCGGGTACAGCTGGCTCTGCCTCTAGATAGGCAGAGCCAGCTGTCACTCACGCAGCTGGGCGGCTCCCGTCATCTAAGTCGGGATCCGCTGCGGCGTCTCAGTATACCGCGAGCTGTAGCTCACGGTATACTGAGACTAGGCTGACGGGAGGACGCTAGTTTGTGTCCTCCCATTACCCTAAGGAGAACTATGGAGAAAAACACTGACCCCATAGTTCTCCTTTTAAGACAGTAGCCTCCAGAATAGGTGTCCCTATTTGACGATTTCCCATCATCTCCTGTTCCAATGACACAATTGCCTCTTCATATTGTTTGCGATCATCCTAAAAGCACTGTGCCTTTTTACTTTCTTCTCCCTTAGACCTCTGAATACCCGGTAATCATCTCTCTGGAGAATCACTGCAGCCTGGATCAGCAGAAGACAATGGCCAAGCACATGAAGGACATACTGGGGGACATGCTGCTGCTGATGCCTGTTGATGACAAATTAAACCAGCTCCCATCCCCTGAGGTTAGAGCACATTTTTAGATTACTGTATAGAAAAGAGTAAAATAAATGCAACTTCTGAGCTGCAGAGGAGATTTTAGCTGGGTTTGATGAATTCTGTGCCAGCACTAGTAACATGGGGTGAATTTGTTTTCTCCACTTCAGAGCACTGACATTCCTGGGTCTGGAGCCAGATTTTGTTTTTCAGCCTTGCATAATTGTACACAGTATGTGTTTTGGTTTCCTAGAACACAGTATTGTCTGCTGCACGTTTCTGAATCACCATAGCTGACTCACATTAGTAGATTGTGGTGAGTTGCACGCTGTGAGCAAGCAGCCGCAGTCACTGCTATAATGCTAGGAAGCCAAAGCTGACGTCCCAAATAGAAATCTAATAATTGTGCCTTGTGTCGTGGCAATAGTCTCAAATAGCAAGGGCCAGCTATATTCCAGATACACTGACCTCAGAGACCAATGGAATAAGGATACTTTGAATGTGCAACTTTCTGAATGTTAGTATAGCATAATTAGGAAGAAGATGTCCTCTTTGGGGATCTCAAACAGAGCACAAGAGACAAAAAGAAAAGTTCTATATGAAAAGTACTGCATATCTACTATACGTCTGCACTTCTATCTGCCTGACTATCAGATAATTCACTCCAGATGTCATCTGGCATTTTAAGGAGCTGCAGGAACAGGAAATGGATTCATAGATTGTGTTTTCCAAGCCTGCCATCTAGTGGTGGAAATAAAGATGAACATTTGCAATGTATCCCTCTCCTCGGCACATGCTAAAATGAAGACTATTACTGGTGACTATTTACTGGTGTTCCCTGGGGATGATTCTTAAAGAGAGAAAGATCAGCTTATTTTCAATAAACGTTTATTCTGAGTTATTATCGCAGAGTATATCTGAAAATAACTTGCATTTCTACAAGATTGCGCTTCCAAATTTTTATCTTTTTGTATTACATATAGTGATTTGTAGATTAGCCAGTAAAGAGCGTTTCCAGTGTCTCCACTGCAAGGGTGGATTTTTTCCCCCCCTGGAGTTATGCTTTCATTGTTTGTTTTACATATTTATCAAAATGAATATTGAAATGATTACACAATCCCTGTATTATGAAGTAATTGCCAATGAGCCTGTTAGAAGGTGTCCTCTGGAATCTGGGTCAGGTAGATAACAGCTTAAAATGGAGCTTTAGCCCCTTTCACTAAAAAACCCCATCACAGGCAGCTCTGCATGCTGATTTAAAATCATTTTACATGTATTAGTTAAACAAACATGTTTTCCATTTACTTACAAATAGAGTTTATCCACTTCCTTGTCCGCCTTGGCACAAATGATGTAATATGCGCAAGCATTGCATCCTGGGAAGGTTACATCAGCAGTGCATTGGTGGGGAATCTCATCCGTAATCTCATGAGATCTCAGGGAAATGCATTTTCCTCCCCTGAGATGATGTGCATGGTCACATGTCCTAGTCACATGTGCCAGAGTACCAGGAAGTAAAGGGAGATATATTAATCTACCCTTAGTAAAAATGGCCACTGTCAGAAGACTGGGAAAAATTATCTACAAGTATCTGTTTGTAGGTAGTCATTCCTAAACATTTCTAAAGGTGCCTTTGTTGTTATTTTAAAGATTTGGGTAAAGGTTCCTCTTTAAGATAAAATTAGTCAATGTCGTGATTTTAGCACCGTTTTAGTGTTTGGCAGCAATAGTAGCTCATCTATTTTACTTGCTGTTTGGAAATACTCTTTTTGGTGTTGGAGCAGGAAATTTCAGGGCTTTCACTGAAATTCATCCTATCGCTAGCATTCCAGATAACTCACTGTTAGGTTTTAGAAATCAAAGAATCCATGGAAATGAAATCAAACATATAAAGTACATGCAAACCCCGTGCAAACAATGTCCCTTCCATGAACTGTATGAAGTTTCACTGAGAGGGAGTGCCTGTTGGCAAACAGCCTGCTGTGTTCTCTCTTTAGCAGACTCTTAGTACTCTGGGAATCCTGTGTCATGAATGCCCCTTGTTACCAATATTTAAATGCTAATAATAAAATAAATAGTTGTAAAAAAACTGTTTAAAAAAATAAAATTGACCAAAACCATTTACCTTTTATGTACACCTTGGCTTTTTTTTTCTTTTTTTCAGCAACTAAAAGGGAAAATCCTGGTGAAAGGTAAGAAGCTGGAGGCGCCAGAAAGCAGCCAGGAGAATGGTGCCAGCAACGGCGCCCCAGTGGCTGAAGTTGTGTCTGATGATGTGTCTGATGAGGATGAAGCTGCAGAAATGGAGGATGAGGTGGTCAAGTCTAAAGTGAATGCCAAAACAAGCACAGTAAGCTATCTGGATTTCAGCGACCGCCTTATATATGTGCATGCATATTTTATTATTATGGGAAAAGTGTGTGCTTTGCAGCACCAGATGATATAAATAAACATTGGTATTTTAGGTTTCAAAGCTGAAGCTTGCCAAGGAGCTGTCTGATACAGTGATATACTGCAAGAGTGTGCATTTCCATGGCTACGAATATGCAATACAGCACCAGGCGTTTTATGAGATGTCCTCCATCACTGAGAGCAAAGCATTGAAGCTGGCCAATGAGTCAGGTGAGATTGGTAGGCTAGTAATATATCCTTGTTCCTCTAGCAAAATATTGCCAGGGACAAGGGCAGACATATTGATTTGGGTAAACAGACACCAAGGGATAACCAGAGAAGTTCCCCCCCCCAAAGTACCAAATGCAGGTAACACTTGGTTTTGTTCTAATCCGTGTCCTGATTGCTGAGCTACCTCTCTCCCAACACCACTGCTCAATGCTCAAAAGGACATGAATATATAATTAGGTCTGGTGAAAGTACTGGTCCATTGCAGCCGGGGCTCTCTTGAGATGAGCACTGCCATGGACCAGTTGTAAGGGAGTATGTGTGTATATATATGTGTGTCTGATGAGGATGAAGCTGCAGAAATGGAGGATGAGGTGGTCAAGTCTAAAGTGAATGCCAAAACAAGCACAGTAAGCTATCTGGATTTCAGCAGCCGCCTTATATATGTGCATGCATATTTTATTATTATGACCACCCCATCAGTACTTTGTTGGGCCACGAGATGACTCCCCTGTGTGCCACGTGTTTCCTATTGGAATGTTCTGGATTACCTGATCAAAACACATCATTCTGTGCCTGTGATCATGTAATCCAGTACACATACAAGAAGTAAAGGTTGCAAGAAGCACAGTGGAGATCGGTGCACTGCACTTCTTGTGTACTGTACTACTTGTATAGTACAGAAGAACAAAAATGAGAAGTACAATGCAGATTGGTGTCTGTTCCCTTTGCCTGTATCCAGCCCCACCTGGGTGCCCAGTTCATCTCTGCTGTTGCTCTAGCAGATGGGAGGTCATACATGTGATGTACCTCCTCCCCTTGACCTTAATTTTCAATTCCTCCTTCCCTCTTGTCCCATTCTGTCTCCCTGGCCACTTTTACACATCTCCCCCTTAGAAATATAATATATTAATATATATTATATGAGGGCAGTGGCTTTATTGCTGGCTGTAGCTACCTCATAGGAATGCCCATAAATTGGGCTTCAGCCTGGGGTGGAGCTACAGCTAGCATGAAGAGAAATGACAGTGCTCTTTTATTGCACAACCACAATGTGGATCAGAACGGAACGAAGTGCTGCATACACTCGATCCCCTGGGGAATCCAAAAATGTTTTTGTGGAGATACTTCTTTAGCATAGAATTGTGACCGTCCATAGCAGAGCTCTCCCTATGCCTCCATTTCTTTGCAGGGCATGTCTCTGTTTTCTGGTTTGAGGCAACACTGGGACAGCTAAGTGAAAGTCTTGCATGAACTTCTTATATCTTGCCTTTTGCAAAATGTTTATCAGTATTTTTTTTTCAAATGATTAACTATGAACTATTCCATATTTATAGTATTCCGTCTTCTATGTATCCAGAAGACTGCGCTCTAGTCTCTTTTTACCTTATTAGCATGAGTTATTTTCACTTGTGTTGTGAGAAGCTTGTTGGTTACAGAAATCATTGAGTCATCATCACAGCAGTGACTCATCCCTTATCAGACATTGAAGGCTTGAAAGCAAGCTTCTGTGCTCTGCTGTGATGGTTGTTAAACCTTTTTAGGTATTTTTTTTTCCTTTTTTTTGATTTTGCAAAAACAACATTCAATATAGATAGTGAAACAGATCAAAAATGTGTAAACAACAACAAAAACCCCTAAAATGAAGCTGACCCAAACCCATTATAGTGCAAAGTATCTTCTTTAATGTAAATCACTGCGAGGCTTGTGTATTGGTTGACAATTTATTCACACTTATTAATACATCTTTGCAAACTGTCATTATCTGGCATTTATCAGTGACCTTTTTACTGACCTAAAGACCCTTAAGTTAGTCAAGTAATGTCATCAATTGCTGATGGGTACCAGCAATATATCATCCCATACAACCACAAATGCAAATTCTTACATTAAATATTAATCATGTAAACGTCAGGAATTTCCATGGCCAGTAAAGCTTATTTTGGGGATACGGCCAAATGACAAAAATGCATTCTATAATGCATTGGGAGGTTTACTATGACATGATTGTACTACCGGCCATGCCCATTAAAGAAGAACTCCAGACTAAAGGAGAGGAAAACATTCCTTTTAAAATTAACAGATTTTAAAATCATTAAGTATAACAACTTTCCTTGTTTAAGGTGAGACAATATGTTGGATATAGGAAATGGTGACACCCTGGAAAATGTTGTCTAAAAATCTGTATCTAGTATGCTTATCATAGGTTTCACAAAAATATTCTAAGGATAATAATGGAACAATAATAAAGCTGCTTTTTTTACAAGGGTGGTTTTATCCCAGTCATAGTGCTCTACACTCATATTTATGTACTTGTCTGTCTCCTAAAGCAAACCGTTTTGTTCAGCACAATATTCGGCAGCTGACCAGGATATACCCTGATGGCCGGAGAACAGACTCTTCCAATTACTGCCCTGTAGATTTGTGGAATGTGGGCTGTCAGATTGGTAAGTCATGCAATGCCAAATTCTCTCTCTGTCCTCAGATAAAGATCTAGATTTCCCCATACACTTATTGTGTAATGGCTATTTCTATTAAAGTGCAACACTGGGCAAACAGACGAATAGTAGGTTGAACTACATATATACTCACGAAAGATTTTGTAATACTGTATATCCAATTTTTGTCGTTTCTACACAGTGCACAGCCAGGCAGGTGACACTCTTTGCTGGTTCTGCAATATAGTTTGCTTGGTCATTCTCCGCCTCAGCTGCATTCTTCCTTTACTGTAGTGCAAAATTTGCATAATATCCTTTTTTGGCCCTGGGTATTAGGTAACTGTAAAGCCCCGTTCACATTGATCGATTTATCGCGCGGTAATTCCTGCGACATCGCGGCAAATTACTGCGCGATATTGCGCTTCAATGCATTTCAATGGGGCAAAGGGTCCTGCTGTCGCGGGTCGTGTGTCGCTACAGCAGGACCCTTTTTGGAGCGGATTTAGCCGCGATTCAAGCTTGCTCAATGCAAGCTTGAACGCGATATCGCGCTGCAAATCTCGCGAGCAGTGGGAACAGGGCCTTAGTGAAGGTTAAGAACATATCCCGGGCCCTCTCCTGATGCCTATTTTTCTCTCTTCTCTTTCTTTCCTTTTCTTGTTTCTCTCTCTGTGAGTCCAGATCTGTCACTGGACATTTCTGCTTTTTCTTCTTCTATTTGTACTTCCTCTTTCTTATCTCAGCTTTCTCTAGTGCTTCTACCCCCCCATAATTTCATACAGTGTGCCCAAGCTGATCCTGATACCTGGGGATTGCAGCCCCCTAGTTAATGGATCCAGTTGGAGGGATGGCACTTTATTGACAACCCTGCATGTTGAAACTATACATCCAAAGTACCGTAGTCTGTAAGAGTGACCAAATTGGGGGCGGGGGGGAAGAAAGGGGTCCCCCATCCCTCTCCTAGTTTACTGTATTTTACGTTCACTGCTTTGATGACCGGGCCATATACTGATCTTGCAAAGGTAGCGATGCCGCAGGTGTTGATTGTTACTTTTACCTTATTGTAGGGGCATACATGTGAATTGAAATGTTTTTGTGCAATTTCTTATTTTCATATAGTTTGATCTGTTGTATATCACTTTGAATAATACAAATTTCAATGAGGAAAAAAAATGAACATCCGGGTTTTCAGGTTTTATGTTTGTGCAAGCACAAAGTACTTGAATCTGCACATTTAACGGGTAGACAATCACCATTTACACCTAGACTAGAAAACTTCATTTAAACATGCTCACTTACATCTAAATCTTTATATGTCCACATGTTTTATGCAAATTCACTGAAGGGAAAACTAATTAGAATATTAAAATAAAGACTGTTACAATTCTGAAATACATCTTTTTTTTTTTTTTAAGATTGAATCAAGCTTACCAAATGTTGGCTTTACTTTACAGTGGCGTTGAACTTCCAAACCCCGTGTACAGACATGGATGTGTACCAGGGCAAATTCCGTGATAATGGATTTTGTGGCTATGTGCTGAAACCCCCATTCCTGCGATACAATCAGACTAAATTTAATCCAAAGTCTATTCATGATGGAGAGTGGTGGACCCCTAAAAAGTTTCATGTCATGGTGAGTTATGTACAAACATGCCTTACAACTACCTCTTTTTTACAGACTTTTAACACACGTACTGGAGTTCAGATAACATTCCCACTGTTACATATTTCAAAGGCTTATACATGCCATTGTGGTAATGTTTATCTGTACGCTGAACAGGAGCTTTGTCTTATCTGTCATCTTCAGGCTTATTCAGTAAGTATGCAAAGAATACATGTAATGTGCAAAATGCAGCAACAATTGACCCTTAGCAGCTTCATATCCTCTTATGTGTTCTGACTCCAGTAATCTGACATTTAATTGGTTGCTGTGGTTTTTACAAACGAGCACTTGAACATTTGTGGCACTTGGACCCACTGCGGTTACAACTTCATTCAGATGACAGAAGGGGGTGGTATGTGCACAGTAAAACCATTGTTTCCTTTTCTCCCTTTAAAAATGAACAATTGGCTATTAAGCAAATAATTTTTCCCGCATGTAGTAAAACTTGATTAGACCATAGTATTTGCTTCTGATAATCTAAAGTGCATGTCCAGACAGTATTTAAACATATGCCCTAGTTGGTAAGTACACTATATCACCAAAACATTATGGACAGCTGACCATCACAGATATATTAGGGCCTTCCCCAAGCTGTTGCTACAATGTTAGGAGCTCACAGTTGTCTAGAATGTTTTTGTATGCTTTTACTATTAACAGAACCCCTTACTGGAAACATTTGTACTTCGTAATTTAGAGGGTTGTCTACATAACTTTTGGCCATATAGTAGGTCAGATGGACAAGTGTGCACAAGGTTGGCCGTATAGTGTAGTTTGTATGATCATTCCTGTTACATTTCGTACATTACTGTTCTTTGCACTAAGTCCTTACGTACGGAGTAAGTCCAGTTTTCTTTTTTAATGGTCCTGATGAGTTCAGTGTTTACTGTGAATGCCTCTGTGGGCTCTCAGAGCATGCTTTATCGAGTATGCTAACATACCACATATACGATCTGGTGACCACATACAGTATATTCTATGCATGTGCACAGACCTTCATTTTTAAAACATCTTTTTTTCAATTTGTCAGATAACACTCAGAAGGATTAGGTGTTGGGCAGTCCCTAAACTTTACAAACATCTGGCACAGGCCATGCATTGCCCAGACCTGTCCTCCACATATGATTTTGAGTGCTGCTACATTGTTGTTTTTATTTAGATTGACAGGCCAAATTCATCTCTATACAGGTCATTTCAGGGCAACAGCTACCAAAGCTGAACAAGAAGAAGAGTTCCATAGTGGACCCCTTTGTATCCGTAGAAATACTGGGCGTCGCTCGGGACAATGACAAGAAACAAACCAAAGTCATAGAGAACAACGGTAAGATTAAACATAGTGTCTTACTATAGATGTATGGACTGGTCGAGTCTTATAAAGTACCTGCAACATTTAAAGTCAAGGGAACAGTTTGCTCATAAGAAAGCCTGATTACCAAAATCTGCCTAATACGCTCATATACTGTGATATCTCAAGGTACCCATATACATGAGGTAATGGTTGTCCTGTATGGTTGGGTTAGGAAAGGATTGTATGTCTTTCACAGTCTGTGACCTGTCCAGACCATGCTGGCTAAATAATTGGCCTGGATGGCATTTTACAGATAGTTGCTGTTCCCCGAGATAAAGTTAGTGGCAAGAATGTCTGCTCGGTTATACAGTTCATTAAGAATAGGGATGCACCTGTACTGATACTAGTATCGATATCGGTGCCGATACCGAGTATTTGGGCGAGTACTCGTACTCGCCCAAATGCTCCGATGCCTAGACGATACTTCGTGTATCACCTTCCTGATTGGTTGGGAAGGCGGCTCCATGCTCCCTTCCTGATTGGTTGGGAAGCTGGCCAATCAGGAAGCCGGGCGCCGTGTAATGACGCAGGGCCCGGCTTTCTGATTGGCTGGGAAGCCGGCTTCATGCTCCCTCGTCATCTCATGCTCCATCGTCATCTCACGAGGGAGCATGAAGCCGGCTTCCCAGCAGGGCGCCACGTCATTACACGGCGCCCGGCTTCCATGATTGGCCAGCAAGCCAGCTCCATGCTTTCTCGTCCTTGCTAATCGGGAAGCCGGGTGGCGAGTCTTTACACGCTGCCTGGCCACCCGGCTAATCAGGAAGCTGGGTGGCGAGTCATTACACGCTGCCTTGCTTCCGGAATGGGACTTCCGGTACTCGGTATTCAGTATCGACGAGTACCGGAAAAAAAATATCGGTAGTCGTACTTGATACCAAAATACCGGTATCGGTGCATCCTTAAGAATATTTCGGACTGATGTCTGTGGGTACTTTTAATAGCCTGGGATTATTAGCTTGTGGTCTAGTAGAGGTAAATGTAAAGAATAATGTAAATAGGTAAAATAAATAATAATGGAAATAAATGATTTCATGCCCTTTTTTTTAAAATCCTGCGTTTTCTCTTATAAACTATTTATCTCTTCAATCCAACTCCAGGTAGAATGGGACTTGCTTTGTCTGACATACAAGTGTGGCCTCTAGTGGCCACAGTCTATAGGAGCAATATTCTACGCTATGTGATATTATCATGAGACATATAAGGCCCCATTCACACTGCGCGTTTGTCGCGCGATTTGCATTTTGCGCGATATCGCGTGATTTGTCGCGAGATATTGCGCAAATGCTTGCATTGAAAAGCTTTGAATCGCGGCAAAATCCGCTCCTAAAAGGGTCCTGCTGTAGCGACGCACGACCTGCGACAGCAGGACCCTTTGCCCCATTGCCAAGCATTGGAGAGCGATATCGCGCGGTAAATAGCCGCGATATCCCGGTAATTACCGCGCGATAAATCGCTCAGTGTGAACGGGGCCTCAGACCTGGATCATTTCTGATGAATGTTGTTTACAGCATAAACTAAATCGTTTTCGGGAATATTCAAAAGGCTAAATAAGCTTTCAGTGTCAATCTATTATTTGACTTTGTCCAAGCAGTGTGGGCAAAAGGTTCAAGTGTAGCTCTACTTTTATTTCAGAAAAAAGCACAATTGTCTTCAGGCTTATTCCATAAATTGCAAGGATTTTAGAAAGTTTAACTCCGATGTTGAGAATGAATGAATGAAATTGAGACAAACCAGTCCACTAACTCCCCTGCTGAGTGGAAGAGTCTGCCTGCCATATTGGCTTGATCAGGCCCTGTGTTGTAATAAGAAAAACATGGCACCCCCAGCACCGCTTTGGCTGTATGGCCACTTTATAGCCAAAGATGAAAGGTTCACCGTACTAAGCATAGACCGAGCAGGGATGCCTCAGATTTAAGCTCGACCCTGGTTCAGTCTTGAAACATTAGTGAACCTGTCACACAGTCGGGGAAATGTTCTGCAAATGAAATTTGTACTAAACGACCCCAGAAATATTTTGCAATTGATATCAATTAGAATTTGGGGCAGACTTCAAAATCTTAGCTGGCTACAGATTGAAATAGAGATGTCATTTTATATAAGTGGTTTGCAGAGCAATTCTTTATGTTGAATTTATTTGAGAGTTTCCCTTTAAATTGAAAGCATGTCTAGATGGAGTATCACAGTATTAAAAATACTGGGCCCTGCAGTCTCCACTTGCATGCACAACCTGTAGTAATGCTTAGCGACTGCTCCCAGCTGCCACAAGAAGATATTCTTCGGAGACTGTAGGGTAGCCCTATATTGGGCTATATGCCATGCCCTCTCCCCAATGCACCTTCCAGTGGCAGCAAAGGTCTCTACACCACAACAGGCTGTGCACTCGCATCAGGAGGCTACAGTATGTGACATACAGGTACAGCATTGAGTT